ATAACGGGTTGCATGGACCAGCTGCTCAACAATTTCTCCAGAGGAAAGGTTGCTTTTGAATCCCATTGTTCCGGTAGCACAGAATCTACAGCCCATCTTGCACCCAACCTGTGTTATATTATAGGGCAAAGTCAATAAAAATAATCAGAAAGTTGCAAGCTTAACAATGATCATAGTATGCTGCCGCACAAAAGGTTACCAACAGGTCCACAGAAGCAGTACTACCTAAACAATTTACGCCATTAGAAACAAGTCTTTAGGTCTTACTAAAGCACTGGTCGTTCAATATGAAAGGAAAATATATCTACCTGTGACGATACACACAGGGTTGAACGCACTCCTCCAGGGCGTGTCTTCCCATCATACTTCCCCAGTCGTGAATCATACCGCATGATCACTGCTTCTACAGATTCTCCATTCTAGGGCCACAAAATTTTAAGTGTGATTAGTCCAATACCTTTGATATTACTCCCTCCGTTCCTAAATATTTTTCTTTCTAGACATTTCAAATGACTAACACATACGGATGTATGTAGACATATTTTAGAGTGTAGATTCACTCATTTTACTCCGTATGTAGTCACTTGTTAAAATGCCTAGAAAGACAAGTATTTAGGAACGGAGGTAGTAGAAGTTAGAACAAGCTAACAAGTAAAATAATTTGTGCCACCAAATGGAAACAAGCAAAAGTATCTGACAACAACGATAACAAAAGGAAAGGTGATTCATGCAAGCAACCAAATCAAGTCACAAATTGGCAGTGATGATGAAATGAAATGGTACTGAGTGGCATTACAGAGTTCAAGATGTGATTGTGTAAAATTCAGATTGTTAGGAAACTATAAAACTAATACAGCACACGATGTCATAAGTCCAACACAACTTGAAGCATCCAAGCTTGGATCAAGTGTATTATTGTCATGTGGATGGGTCACCCACACACTAGACCCAGCCGGTCCTAGCTGACTCCAGTTAAAGGATATAATTACAGTTATCTGAAAGTTAGGAATATTAGCATTTAGACTAGGGGTAGTCAATTAGAGGTAAGACATCAATTAGCTCGGGCCTTAAGCCAATAAGAGGTATGATACATCTTAGCCTGGGCCTTAAATCAATTATAGATAAGATATTTCCTTAGATATGAGATTTGTTTAGAATCAATTTGTTAGGGCCAGCTCTATATAAAGAGCCTTGGTGCATCCATTTTTATCAAGTAAGAATATTACAATATATCTCCCATCTGCTTCACCCTCTCAATCCCCAATATAATTATAACCCCTCCTGAATTAGCCATACTGCCCTGCCATCCTCCTATTGGTATATAACCTCATAAATCCCAGTTCACTACAATTATCATGATCACCTGGGCAGGCGGCATATCTAGAGACCAAGAAAAACATGCTAACATATTGCTACTGAAGGTACAGATAACAATTTGTACATCAATTTCCTCAACAACAATCATACAAGTGGCTGATGCTTGCTTGCACTTGAATCAAACAACATAGTTCTTTGACCGGCATTGGAATGAAGTTCATAGATAAGTACAGATACATTTTGATTTAATACAGGGATTTTTTTTTAATCTTAGTATAGTAACCCATAAACACCACACATGTAATAAGCCTGAGACAATTTAGATATTTATTAGTGTAGGTCACATAGACAGCAATTCAATAGGCCCTTCTACACGCTATGATCCAGGACTTATGCATAGTTCACAGCTCATGGTGAGGCTTGATTCATAAAATGTTTCTCAAGCGGCCATTCAATTATGGTCCCATTAAATTATGCATGTTTATCAATATCTAACATAGTAGAATCAAAAGGGGCAATTTTTTGCAAAAGCAAAACATTTTTTGCAAAAGCAAAACACAAAAGCTATAAACCAGAAAAGGTGCTGAGAACACAAGGGGAGAGTCAGTGATTGTCCTATATAAAGGTCCAAATCCAGGGTAGGACTGCAGACAACAAAATCAGCACTAAGTCAATCTCTCATATCTAGGGACTAGGATTAGGATAACAAGGGAAACTATAACATTGCCAACTTAGAAAAGCTTGTCCATTGACACAATATCCTAAATTAGCCCCCTCAACTCCCTTTAAGACTCATTTAGCCCCCTCTTAATTCTTGCTCAAGCTCCACCACTGGATGCTTGCATAGTAAAAACTAGAATGACGCGATGTCATGCAAATGTGCAGGGAAACAATCAGGAAGGGTGAAACGATGTGAATCCCAAAACAATCATCAGGCCCTAAAAAGCTCATACAAGACCTAAAAGGGCTTACAAGACCAAACTGTCGCACCCTACATCACCGTCCCCAAAATTGATCTGACGCGAGCAGCTAAGCAGTCACCTGGAGGCGGATGAGCAGCTTGGTGGTGGTGCGGTCCTTGGATTCGGCGGCGGCGGTGAGGGTCGAGGTGGTCGGCCGGAACTTGTTCCGCAGGAGCGCGTACGCGGCCGCCGAGAGCGACGGGACGCCGTCGAGGTCGCTGCACCTAGGGTTCTGCAGCACGTACCTGAACACGCCGACACAGAGTGAGCACCACCGCTCGAAACAAGGGGGGAGACGGAGATGGGGCGCGGCGCGCGCGTAGGGTTCTAGGGGTTAGAAAGGCGTACTTCCAGATGGTAGGGATGAAGGTGGGGGAGATGCCGGCGGCGTCGAACTCCGCGCGGATGTAGGCGGCGTCGAACACGGAGCGGCGCGCCGGCGGCGACGAGGACGACGACGCCATTGGGAATCGGGAGCGGAGCGGAGGGGGTGGGGAGAGGGGAGAAGGGGAAGGGGAGGGGGCTGAAGCAATGTGTGGGTTTGTGGGGGTTTTGAGTGGGAGTTGCTTGTAGAAATGAAACAAACGGACCAGGTAATGATTAATTTGGGAGCCAGAAATTAGGGATGAGATTTAGGTTTTCCAAATTAAGGATATGCAGTGGTAGTGTCAAGTTTAAGATAGTATAATGAAAAATTATACTCCATCCGATCCATATTAATTGTTGCGGATCGGAAGAAGTACCTTAATTTTGCTCTACATTTGAGTTCATGATATGATAACGAGAAAGGCTCCCTTCCCCCCGATGGCCCATGGAAGGGCGCCTCTTTCAGTTATCATGGCTGTGGTGGGGTGGATTTAGAAGTAGCAAAACATAGCGTTAGGCGACGAGCCTAACATCGTCAGTCTACTTGACACAATCAAGGCGGAGGCCCCTCCCCTAACGCGGCACTAAAAAGCATCTTCGTTTATCATGCTCCCGCGCGTGGTGGATTTAGAAGTAGTGTAATGTGTCGTCTTCGACAAGGAGCAGCCCAACATTGCCAATCTACTCGGCACAATCAAGGAGGCCCATCCCCTAACGCCAACCAAAAAGAGCACCTGTTTCGTCATCCTACTTTCGACGCGGCGAATTTAAAAGTAACGAAACATGGCGTGTTGACAACGAGCGGCCCAACATCTCCGTCCCGTCGCAATCAAGGGCGAGGCCACAAGCTCGTGGCGTGGTGGAATTAGAAGTAACGTGACATGAAGTAGCCGGTAAATACAAAGGTGGTGGGTCTAGCGACGAACTTCCCTCGGTGCGTATCACTTAGCGTGTTTGGCTACTTCGGATAAAGGGAATGAGAGTATAGGCGGGAGTTTGTTGGGGCATTAGGTTTGGAAAGTTGATTACTAGTCTCAATCTCATATGTATGTGTTGCCAATTAGCAGTGGGAACTTGAGAGGAAATCTCCCCCAAGGTGAATTAAGAGGGGGCACGGAAGAGATACGTGAGATTTGACCTTCTTAATTCAATTTCCCATTCCTTCCTAGATTCCTTTGCCCCCAACCAAACGATGATTATGTCTCATATCCTTCGAATTCTCATTGACTACAAAGCTGTTGGAGTATTACGTTATAACTTGGTGATGTTAGAACGTTGACTTATAACTTGGTGCCTTGCCCTACCAGTTTGAGGCGCAAGGCATAATTTTGCCTTCTAGCCATGCATTGAGACGCACCACAAAAAAGAACTGAGTATACTAGGTGATCATCAAACCAAGCTAAACTGATAGAGTATACCAGGTAATTTCCCCTTCTAGCCAGGGCAGATTTTTCATCAAACAATACTGGCTATTTTGCAGACAGATCATCAAACCAAGCTAAACTGGTAGAGTCAACTAGGTGATCATCCACCAGCAGTGGGGATGTGCTGGACAAATAGAATACTCCCTCCATTTTTGTTTACAAGGCCACAAACCCATATTACAGGTACCAAGGCAAAAGTAAATGTGTGTTTAAGTCATTATTCCAAGCTAGTTGTCTCCTTGTTTGTCGTGTTAATTAATGCATATTTTTCTTTTCCACCCACAACAAGCCAATGCTCTCACTCCTTTTGGTTGATTAATGAGGCGCATGCAAGCCAACCTTCTCACACCCGCATGCATGCAAGGGATAATTAATGCCCTCTTTTACTAGTGCGAGGTAAACACCATCAATTTTGTCTCGATAAGTGTTAGTGGCCTTGTATAGCTGCAAATTGTAATTTTGATAGTGGCCTTGTATATAAAAATGGAGGGAGTAATACTGATTCGAGTAAAAAAAGATAATGGACAGATAAAAATTCAATAGGAATTTATAACATGTTAAAGAGCATAGTTGTTCAGTGGATCCGACACGGACTGATAATGTTTGTTACAAACACTTTCACACCAAAGGGAAAAAGAGAACATTTTCAATCTAAATGAAGAGTTCCATGAGTTCTACATAAAGTGGACTGATGATACTATTTAGTAAAGACGCTTCACTTCACAGGGGAGATGAAAACATCATGAAACGAAAATGCTTAGATAAGACACCAAATTCCAGCAGAGTGCCATATAGTTAGATTCAATAACAATGAGACCAAGTACATGACCACTGAGCCATCCCAAACAGCTCCAGAGTCCAGACAACAATGTGGAAAGATAACTATCATTTACCCATCGCAAATAACTCCAGGCAACAACAAAAACGGTAACTACAGTGCCAACAGTGCTTCGACTTTTGCAATCTGCTCTTCTTCAGTCATCGGAGCTGGGGTACTGTTCGTCTCATCATAAAGGTCATGCTTCCATTTCTCTGTCTGATGATCACCGGCATCCTCGTGCATGTTGCTTCTTCCACCATACTGGCAGTCAAACCTGTCTCTGCCCCTTCCCCCTCTGCCAGCAAAACGCCCTCTTGGATCATAGCCATTTCTCTGACCAGCACTCCGGTAATCAGAAAATCCCCTCCTGGTATCTCGATCATCAGGCCTTATGAATTCCCGTGAATGGTAGTTTCTCCTTTCTTCTCCCATTCCAGAGGTCCACCCAGGTTGATCAGGTATACGTGATCTTGAATTCGGTTCTGTAACAGCAGGAGCTGATTCTTGCCCCTCCAGTGGCATTCTCATCTCCTTAAATCCTGACCTCCTTTTGGCAACCGGAGCGTCTTCCTGCAACTTGAAAAACCCATCGTGCTTCCATGTAGAATCAACATCACTGTGTTGTTGAGGCTGCCCAAACTTTTCCTGCAAACCATGTCCCTCATACTTGTGTCTATCTCTATCATCGAGATGCTCATTTTGATCCCTTTGTCTTCCATAATCTTTAAGATGAAAAACAAAAAATACCCTAAGCAAAAAAGATGGCAAGATAAAGTAGTGCAGAAAGTAAGAACTAATAAAGGCAGCTCCCCACTACCTTGGCGACCATAGCGTCGACCACCTTGCCCAGCACGTTCACGCTCATCATGCTGTACATACAAGTACAAGTAGCCTAATGTTGTTAATAAAGTGGACATTTGAAGGTATGTGTCACAAGAGAACTACCACTAAATCACCAGAAATATAGCACTTATGCACGATGACCTGACAACAGAGAGATATTCTTTAGCAACAACCCAACATTCTGACCACAACTAGTTCCGTAACAGCACAAGCAATTAACATGAACATGAATACCAATGTAAAAGAAAACACATAATCTTTGCTCAGCATCCATGTGTTGTACAAGTTAGATCACCGAAGTATATGTGTTTTAATACAACTGGACTCTCACAAAAATGAATAAGCGTAATTTGATTTAAATAAGAAAACGTTAATGGGAGAGCATCTAGACTCTAGAACATCTTTGTAAACTACTCCCTCTGTAAAGAAATATAAGAGCGTTTAGATCACTATAGTGTTCTAAACGCTCTTATATTTCTTTACGGAGGGAGTACAATATAGGCTCAACCAAATTGAATCAGAAAGACACTAAAATGAGTAGAATAGTACTCCCTCCGTCTCTAAATATACAGGTGCCATGGGATCCATGATCAACCTTCAAAAGTTTGACCATCAGTATATGTGAATACATACATGAAAATTTTAGCACTGCCTTTCTCTTGCAAAATACTAACACAAACTATTATATTATAATATAACAGAACACATAGTATAAATCTTGCATTGTGGTCTTGTGGACCGCAGAAAACAAAATTACAACTTATATCTGCAGATGGAGGAAGCGCATATATAAGGAGGTACAAGTTATATTACTATATAATTCTATACACTTGACTTCTAGAGAGGAAACCATACCATTGGAATAGGACAATGTTACATCACTACATACTGAAATACCTGAAGGTTTGCAACCCAACATGTAAGGAAGTAACATATATATCAAATATGTGTGAACAAATACAGAACAAAATGGGCTGATGAGGTGTAATTTAAGAGAATTAGCCCTCATGCTAGTTTATACTTCCTAGATAGCATTAAAGATAGACATTTCATAACGGAACCAGAACCAAGAATTGGCAGTTACTGCTCCAGCACACGTAAACATTCATGCCGCAACCCTCTACTGGCTATTAAGCTAACAGCTATCAAGCCACTGAAAGCATTGAACATAACCCACTGATGATAATCCCTTTTCTGCACAGGTGTGTGTAAAAGACGAGAACCTGAAAGAACGAAGATCTAGGCCGCCAGGCCTCTCTCGTCTCGGAGAACCGCTTGGTTCCCCTGGGAGACCTCTCGTGCCTCGCGTGATGGTCCTCTTTAGCATCGCTTGGCTGCGTCTTCCCATCCCCGTGCCCTGGATCAGGACCATCGCTCCGCTCCTTCGCGTCCTGCAAGTGCCTGTTCCTCCTCTCATCACGGTCGCCCTCATCACCGGCGCCCTCCTCGGCCCGACGCCTGTGCTGGCTCCTGTCGGAGTCATGCCTCCTGTCGTCTCTCCGCCTCCTCGGGCTACCAAAAACGAGTCCCCGAATGGGGTCAGCACGGGCGCGAATCGCATTTCCACGCGAGCACGATGCGACGATCGGGAATCGCGAGCGCAAGGAACTGATTGCTAATCTGAAAAATTCCGGCGAGACGGATCGGGGGAGACGACGGGGGTTGCGGTGGATTGGTCTGGGCGCTTACCTCGGGTCGTCCCGGCGCGACCTGGACGTGGAGTGCGGGCGCCTGCCGTGCGAGTCGCGGCCCTCCCGCCGGGACGCCTCGCGCGGCTCCCTCGCCGTCGCCGCCGTCGCCGTCTCCGTCGTCGTCATCCTCTTCTTCTTTATCGGTTCTTCTTTCCCCACCACTTCGCTTCCCCCGGCCTGGAGCGCGAGCTAGGGTTTTTACCCGGGGCCGGAAGGGTGCGGTGCGGTGCGGACCCGAGCCCGACCGGACCGGACCAGACCAGACCGTACCAGGCCGCGCGCCGCGAGCCGGTCTGGTGGGTCCGCTTTAAGATTCGTGCTTGGCTTGCCGTGGCACAAAACTGGAGAGAGCGGAGCGAGTGTCTCCCGAAGCATCCTTCCTTCCTGACGAAGCAAGCGACGCCTGCCGCCGGAGCGACTGGGCCGACGATCTCCGCGCTCCTCGCCCTCTCGCCGGCGACATGACTCGGTATGATCTCCCTCCGACCTGCATTGTTTTTCGGGGCCGTTGGACGAGGGTTCCGACGGTTGAGTTCCGCGGTGGCGGGGAACCGGACCTAGGGCTTTCCGGGGGCTGCGGGCGAGGCTGCCGACGCGGCGGCGGGTGATGGGTGAACCCGGAGAGGGGGAGGGGGAGGCGAGAAGGGGGGTATGGGTGAGGAGGAGAGAGATGATTGTCCTGATTGGCGCTTACGCTGTTCCTGCACGCATGCGGGACAGCGGGAGAGTGATCGCGTAGGTTGTTCCTTTCGGGGTTTTTTTTTCAATTCTGACACTCCATCCAGATTATGCCAAGTTCATGTTTCTCAATCATCTATGATGGTCCGTATCAATGCTTGATAGGCCTGTCTTTCATAGCTGGTAAGATATGGCTGTGCCGCTGTGGTCAGGCATGGATTGTTGCGTGCAGCGTGTGTTTATCCGAACTGTGCACATGAAGTGGCGAGCATTGCGTGGGACAAGGAATGGAGAAGCACATCATTCGGGAAGTGTGCCAACCCTTGTGGTTGTTAGAGTCACTATCCATGTCTGCTGGTTCAGTTTTTATTGTTCAAAAAATCAGTTCTATTGCAGGTCTTTGGATGGGTCAGTATGTAAAGTATCAAATTGGTTTGTTGAATTCCGTGCTAATTCGAGTAGCCCCCAATTGTGTGTGTGTGTGTGTGTGTGTGTGTGTGTGGAATTTGAGCCAGTGTTTTGGTTTACAAAACCCAGGTGTCTCCCTTGTATCTGGAGGTTGATTATTTCTTCAGGAGATGTAGATATAGAAAATAGAAAATGCCATGGGGGTGATTGGTGACTTTGAGATATGGTGCTAGAGAAACTATCTAGAGTTGGAACTGCTGCAGAATGATTCGGGAGTGACTCTTCTCTGGTCCAGTGATTGGTGATTCTTCCTTGCTTCTCTCTCTGGACAGATTGTTTAGGGAAGTTCCTTGTTTATAACAGTTCTGTGTTTAACATTGCCAGACTTTGAGTTCAGAAATCCTTATAACTGTTCTGTGTTTTTACACATTACTGTTTATCTATGTTCCTCTGTGATGCAACTCGAGTACAGCTTACCTTGTTAATACTTCTGGTCAGACCTTGCGATCTGCAAGCATTGTGCTGTATTCAGATATGTGTTATGCTGCTGTTTCCAGAAGTATATAAGTTGATGCTGCTTCTTAGTACTCCACTATGTCGCCAGTTATCCACATGGACAATGGACAGAAGAATTAACTCAATTTTGAACAATTAGTGCCACAGCTGTTTCCTCAATTCTGCAGTTTTAACCGAGTTTAATAAAAGGGTTGGGTACATTAAATACTGCTGGTTAGACGTGAAATTTGTGTGTAATTCGTATTGGTGTTACATTACTGTTTATCTAATCAGATCCAGAAGCACATAGTTGTTGTTGCAGCTTAGTATTGTGTCATCAAATATGCATTTTTGTTACATCTGTCTCCGAAGCATCTGTTCTTTAGGTCTGCAGTTGTCTTCTGCTGAGACATTTCATATGTGACATTGCAGCTCCTTTCCCAACATGTACCGGCTCCGAGCCAGGGAAAGATTAAGATGGCAATCAAGCGCGGTTTCTGCGACGAGGATGAGGAGGAAGTGGCGCAGATGTCAGGCCCAGTGGACTTAAAGGAGGTCACTCACGCAGACAAGATCACAAAGGAAACTTTGGCTAAGGTTATGGTGCAGAGGAAGGTGTCTGCCCTGACAGCTGCCCCGCGGACCGCGACAGCCCCCACCCCTGCCCTGGAGAACACCACAGGCCCGACCCCTACCTCGGAGACTGCCCCGACCCTCGCCCTGGCCTGAGCCATCTACTAAATCTGGTATGAAAATAACTTCACTTTCTTTCTAAATACATGTAGGTACATTGTAAATAATCTAACACTAATAAAGGATGAGGTTTCTCTCTCTTAACTATAATTTGTTCGTGTATGGTGGTTTGGATGTTACCTGGTTTCAAGTCTTGATATCTTTTGAATATATCTAATTTTCATTTTAGAAAGTTTGCATGATGTCTGATCTCTTTTGCATTCTTCACAGGCGAAAGGACTGCTGTACAAATGGGCAATTGGCACAAGGCAAAGATTTCAGGAGAATGTTTGCATCAACAGGGTTTTTTCAGTTCCTCTTGTTTTCAGTTCCCTTCCTAATGGTGATCAGTCACAAACCTTAAAATGTAGCTGAGTTTGTGCCTTGAAACTGGCTGAAGGGGACCAGCAAATGGTAAGGGGAGAACCTTTCCCGTGGTATGCGAACCAAGTCTTGTGGTCTACGATGGATGCTTTACCTTGTTCTGCAATGGGGAAGCATGTATGTGTGTTCACTCTGAGGTGTTTGTCTTTGTCGTGGTGGCGGCGGATGATTTCGTTTCGTGTTCATGTGAGATGATCGTATGTTCGTCTGTTGTCCAGGAAAATCCTGCATCATCAGTCGTTTGTCTGCCTCTCTTGTGATGTCATTTTCTTGTTCTTTTAACCTTCCGTCTGTGTTAAACAAACTTCGTTCATCTTAGAAATGTTCTTTTTCCGAGGAAATAGGCTGCAAGATGCATGATCATTGATCAGCCAGAACAAAAACAGCAGCCTCCTAATCTTTTTAGTCTCTTGAACGAACGAACGAACATGCCATTTGTAGCACTTGGATCATCAGAAAGGAAAACAGGCCGTTCGCTAGACATGGTAAGCAAGCGCAAGAGACCATAAACAACAGCTCCTATGCCAATATTATTCCCTTGTAGTAGTAAAACGCAAGCATGATTTCAACGGCTACTAAATTTACCCCCTTTCAATTCCTGTATGGATTTCCTCCACCTCTCATAAATGAAGTTTCAGTCCCTGGCCTGTTGACAGTGAGGCTAGATCATTCCTTGAAGAGAAGAAATCTTTACAAACTCGATTAAAAAAAAACTCAAGCCAGAATGAAAAAGTATGCAGATAAAAAGAGACCTGACATGAACTATGAAGTGAGACATATGATTTACTTAAAAATTGCAACCATGACAGCTTTTGACATCTGTATAGGACTCAAACTGGCTACTAAATTCTATGGACCATTTCTAGTTCCGAAGAAAATTGGTGCAGGAGCATATAAACTGCAGCTTCTGGACGTGGCACAAATACATGGCGTTTTTTCACATCACTCAATTCAAGAAGCACTTGAGCCCATTAGCTGTTCCTGCTCCAGGTTTGCCGCTAGTGGATCCTCATGGCAAAGCAAGGTCGCTCCTGTCCTGGCACTTGAAACTCGAGCAGTACCTCTCCTGGTAACTGGTAACGCAGTGGCTGGTACAATGGTTAAACATGTCACCAGAAGAAGCAACATGAGAAGATGCCAACTTCATCAAGTTCACAAGTGTTTTCAGAATTCTTCAATCAAGGCAATCCGATTCTGGTTCCCTCAAAATAATCCTGGTGGGCAAGGATCGTCTTCAGGAACGTGCAATTATCAGGACCTCAACTATCTGAACCTGAAAATTTCTGAAGAATTCATAGCGACCGACACTGGCGAAACACGAGATCCATTTTGTGAACCTGAACCTGAACCTGAACAGTTCTCAAGAATTTTGTTAGTCCTGTCAGCCGGCCTCGCGCCGGAGCTCCCTAGTGCCGTCGGCGGGGTCCTCTGTGCAGCCGAGGAACATGATCGCCACGGTCTTGCCGGTGGTGCGGTGGCGTGCCTTGACGACGATGCCGGAGCTAGCCGCCCTTGCCGATGCCGCGCGTCTCCTCGTAGTCCTCGGTGCCGCTGATCCATCCGGATGCGCCTCCTCTTGTGGCAGCCGGTCGTTTCTGGTCCTTGGGTGGTCGTCGCGTGGCCGGTGTCGTCGTGTCGAGGACGGCAGCAGGTCTCTTGCAGTTGCAGTTGCAGACGGCCATGGCGCTCGATCGACGTTCGACGGCTTGGTTGGACGCGACAAGGGGCGAGCTTTCCGTGTGGATCGTCTCGTCAGCATATATTGAAACCGAATCGGAAACGAAGAACCTGAATTCGAGTCCGAAATGAACGAACCGTGAATCCGCCATCGGGCGGAAAACGCAGGCAGCAAGGCAAAGAAGCTGTCAGCCACCGTAACTCGGACTGAAACTGAACTGAATTCCATGGCCAGTCGGTACGGTGAGGCAACCTGAAAATAAACATCTCTGATTACATCATTTGATCAAATATGGTCAGCTCCGTTGTGCATTTGAAGTTTCGAGCTACTGTATTTATTGGGGAAAAATATCCTATTTGTACAAACAGTGTCACACGGCGATACCCAATACTGTATACCTGAAATTAACGGTCATGAATAGACTGCAG